AATATATTATTTATTTATTTTAATGTGGCACTGTATTTGCATATATTGTATGCTGGGGTATTTTTTTTAAATATTTAAAAATTTATAATAGTTTAATTTTATATTTATTTATATATTAATTTTATTTTTTTAAAATTATTTTTTAAATACTATTTTTAATATATTGATATTTTGATTTTTTTAGTTATGGTTTGGTTATGATTTGAGTGTAGAGTTTTGAGGTTATGTATTTGGTTATTGAGTTTATAAGAAATAGTTTTTAAATAGAGTTTATGGATATTTTGTGTTTGCTTACGAGTTTAGCGTGGTGAAGTTGTGTTTGAGCTTAAAAATATTAAATATTTACAAAATAAAATACAATGTTTAAAAATAAATCAAATAATATATAAGATAAAAAATAAAATTTTCTTAAACATTTGTTATAATATTAAAAAAATAAATTTCAAAAATTTCAAAAATACAACTCAAAAATTCAAAAGGCTCAAAACTCCAAAATATAATTCAGAACTCTTTTTAAAATTTAAAATTTTAAAAAACTATTTTCAAAACTCCATAACAAAGTAAAAGTTTTTTTTTTTTTCAAAAACTCAACTCACAACTCATACTTATAAAATCACAATCCACACTTAAATCATAATTTTAAAACTAAATCAGCATAACCTTATTTATTTGAACTCCAAACCATTAATTTTTTATGATTTTTATATTTTTTTATTTTAAAAAAAAACTGAAAAGTATTATTGGGGCTATATGTGTGGGCGCTCAAAAGAATGATAAAGTGAGTAGAGCCTTAATTAAAGGCCAGCGTTTGTAGTTATAGGCAATTACTCATTGGGACTTACTGATAAGTCATGTATCAAAGTTTTAAGACTCTAACTTAATCTCAAAACAAAACACATTACATCTAATTAGTCCAATTCATTTTTAATTGTTACCTAAAAAGAATCCTTTTTTTTTTTTTTTTAATTTACAGACCTGTTCACCATCTTACTACCGTCGGGACTTCATTTAAGCGGTCGGCCGAAGACTCACGCGGTAATGCTCCTAGGATCGCGGGAACACAAACAAATCTTAAAGAATAAACCATTGTTATGATAACTGTAAAATTTACAGTTCTAAAAATGTTATAAAACTGCCAAAATTTTACAGTTTTAAACCAAATGAATTCATTCGGCACCCAAAAAAAAATTTTGAACCTGCAAAATTTACAGTTTCACCGCCATGTAACTAAAACTCCAAAAACACTGTTGCAGAATTCGAAAATTTTCTCTATCAATAGAACAGAAAAACAGAAATGGATCTATAGCAGAGAAAAAAAAACAAAAGAATTTTGAAGGAGAAGGCCCCCGGATGTAAGAGAGATTTATACTCGACAAACTATTTTTTGTTTTAGATTCTAAGCCAAATCTGATCAGATCTACTCAATCATACATCAGATCTAAGTAGATCCACTCATCTTCTTCGTTCGGAAAATATATCTTCGCCGTCGGTGAGAGTGAATCACGAGTTTGATTTTTCGATGAATTTAGCGGGTTATCAGTGAACCCCGATCAATGGAGGCCAAAGACCAGATGACACTTGTTACCTATTGTCTTAGACGTAGACGATGAGAGAAAAAATGTAGAAAAAAAGAGAAAGAAACAGAAAACGTAAAAAGGGAGGAAAAAAACCAGAGAGATGGAGGAAAGGACCTTTGGGTCCTTGCTGTACCTTTAAAAATATGAGATTAAAGGTGCTTCCACATGTCCACACATAGAACCTCGTGGTAATTTCCCCTTACCAATGGTGATTTTGTTGTTTATATTGAGTAAGTTCGACTAATTGTTACCTTTATTTTATTACCATCCTTAATTCAGGATTAATTTAGTGCGCTCTAACAATATCTAGAACTAAAAAAGAAAAAATTTATGAATGAAACACTTCTTCATTTACGCGTTGATATTTGAATTTGAGGTGCCACGGATTCTATTAGTTCAACCATACTAAATCCTGCTTTTCCCCTTTAATTTACTCAAATTTATTGATCATTATAAAATTTTTAAGATATATTCAATGATTGTGAGTATACATTGTGTTAGGGCCGATGCATTATTCTGGAACAAGAAGATCCATACACAAATTTGATGATTTATTCGCCTATAAACTGTTAATCTTTCCTTCCCCAAAATCAATCACATTGCTCCTGTTTTTTGGTTTTCCAAAAACAGCTTTTAAGAAAATTCTACTCTTGGTTCTGTGTTTTTGTTTTTACTAATTTTTTAATTATATTTTAATAAAAAATTTTTTTTTTAATTTTTAGACACACCTAACTTAAATACACATAAAAGTATAATTTTTGTTAAAAACATTCTTTTAAAATTGACTAAATATCACAAAAATACAAAAAAAAAAAAAAAAGAAAGAGAATTCAGTATATTTTTCATATTTTTATGTATTTATTAATTTTTTAAAATATTTTTCACAATATTTTACTTTTTAGATACTATCTAAGTAAGGTAACATCTAAAAAAGTAAAAAAAAAAAAAACGCTTAAAATTTTAAATATTTACTAAACCAAAAAAAAAAAATGAAATAAATAAAACTCAATTTTCAAAAATTTAATCTAATAACAAACTCAAACCAAACTCACACACTCTAACTTTGATCTCAAAGATTATTGTACACACTCTTTTAATAAATTATCAGGGTACCGTAAAAATTTTTAACACTTTATAGTAACACAAAAGGGGTGTAAATTCTGCCCCGCTTTCCAAGCTGTAGTTGGACGCGGCCCATGTCCGGGTCTCTGCTAGCCTCTCCTGCTCAAAACTTTGGCCTTTCGAGCCAACCCAGTGCCGAATAAATTATACTTGGGTGCGCGGCCTCGGCCGGTGGGCAGGGACTTGAACATTTGTTATTTATTTGTTTACCAAAATTTTATCTTTTTTTCCACCAAAAAATAGTATTACTGGGTGTCGGTCGAGTTTTGAGTAGCGATGAGCCTGGTTGGGGCCGGGCTTTCGGCTTCAAAATGATGACCCAAGCCCAAACCTAGGGTTCGGAGTTGGGCTCGGGCCTAATTGGGTCTACTCGGGCTGAGCCTATAGGAGTGTAAAAATGGCCTGTGTCTTGTGGGCGGCCCAAAGCTCGCCTGCGGTTCAGGGTGGGCTCGACTCGTTTACCCCCATTTGGGCTCAACTCGAAACCCTAGGCCAGGCCTTGGGTCATCATTTTGAAGCCTGACCCATTGGCTCGCTTAAGGCCCATTCAAGGCCCAGTGGTTTTTTTAGTGAAAAATAATAAAATTTTGGTAGAAAAAATAAAAAAACAAAAAAATTTGTTCAGGCTTGCCCCAAGCCTAAGCCCAAGCCAAAGCCAAGGCCCACTGGTCCGTCCAAGGCCCGAATACCCCCTGGGCTTGGGCTTAATTTTCTGACCCGTGGCTCAGCTCCACTCGAATTTTGGCAAGAGCCTGCGAGGCTCGACATGAGCTGGGTCGGGCTCGGGCCTGAGTGGGCTGGGCCAAAATTACATTCCTAGCCCACATGCCGCAGACCATTTTTACACTATACATTTTTGCAAAAGAAGATACACTTTTAGGAAAAAACCATGAATAAGCAGTTACAAGAGAGTAGTAGCTTCACCTGGGAAGAATTTTATAGCTTGATTTTTTTAATTTGGTTAAAAAGTTTTGCTTGCGATGAATTTTTGATTTTTTTTTTTTTTTGTAATTTTGTGAGAGAAAAAGTGACATTAGGTTCACTTAGAAGGTCTGTTAAAAAACTCCGTAATGAACTTTTTTTTAAAAAATGTAATACTCTAATGTAACACTCCAATAAACAAAAATTTCTTAGTATACTTTTATCAAATGTAACACTTCAATATGACGGGTATAATATAACATTAGGTAAATTTAAAAAGTCAGCTAAAAAATTCCTTAATATATTTTTTCTAAATGTAATATTCTAACAAATAAAATTTTTTTAATGTACTTTTCACAAATACAATATTTTTAAAAAAATTCTTAATATATATATATATATATATTTCAAATATAAAACAGTAACAATTAAAGAAATTAGAAGGACAAATAATAAGTATTACACCTCTAAAATGATTAAATAAATCATAAAAAAATTATGAAAATATATGGATGATAAGTCTAACATTTGAAATTTATTGTTCAATCTCTCAAATGAGAAAGGGGGGCTCCTATTTTCATTAAAATGAGCATTGGGCTGATTCGATTCAACTGCAAATAACAGAAGCAAAATAAAGCAGTCCCATTCACATACATACAGAGAACAAAGAAGGACACGCGCGCGCGCGCGCACACACACACACACACACACACGAAGGAGGAGTAGAAAGAGGGTCGGGTCGCAACCTGAGATCGAATGACGGATCCGAATATGGAGCTTTTGCAGGAATCGGGTTGGGAGGAATTGAGGAAGGAGGCTCGCAAGATCGAGGGTGATCTCGATGTCAAGCTCTCCTCTTACGCCAAGCTCGGCGCTAGGTTTACCCAAGGCGGTTAGCTCTCTCTCTCTCTCTCTCTATATATATATATATATAGATACACGCACGCATATGAATCGATACATGTATGTATGCAGTCTTAGATCTAGCTCTGTTATACAATTTAAGTTACTAAACCTATAATTGAAATTGCAATTGTCAATTTTCCATTAGCATTATATTGATGCGTACAGATCATAGTGAATTGTGGAATCTGAATTCCTGTTCTTACAGTTTTATGATTGAAGTTCTTGTGTTTATGTTTCTATTTTGTATTGTAAAATTGCACTTGTTATAAAATGCTACATTATTTCCCCCCAGTTTTTTGTGTTCTTTTAAAATAATTTGCATTAAAATTCAGTTACTATAAAAGAGTATTTTTTTCCCCCCTTCTAATTTGCATTGTATGGGTCATCAGAGAGGTATTTTGCCTAACAAAAGTATATATATATATACATTCTGTATTTGGTCTAACCACTTTTGTCATGTCAACAGCACTCTCTGCTCTGCTAAATAAGTTTATCTAGCCTCCAAGGCTATCCAAATGCAGCTAGCTAGCCAAGAAGAGGATGAGGCAAAATGGGTACTCTGTTGCCTATCGTGTTAGACCTGCATTATGTAACCAGGCTAGACAAAATGCTTAAAATGTTCTAAATGCTTAAAATGTTCTATTTGGAGATGCTTTCAAAGGTTCATTGGAGAGTGACAAAGCATGTTACTTTTCAAAGAATGACAAAACATGTCAAAGTACAAAACTCGGAAAGTCCTCCATATGAGATGAATTATTCTAATGATATATTGGAGGTGAGCATGTGACCATAACTAACTCTCTGAGGGCCGGGATTATTGCCGATTTTAGAAAAGTCGTTAGGTTTTGTTAAAATCTAGTTAACCCATTGAATAGTCTTTTGATTCTAGTAAGTTCAATTGACACCATCATGTGAGGTGAGTAATTAGGTGTGGGGGTGGTCTCGGATCCGGTTGAGTCAAGTTGAATTTCATCCGTCATCTGTCCAAAATTAGGCAGATTGAAAAAAATCAATCCACATCCATCCACCGGTTTGGTGGATGCGGATTGAACTGGCCGTGCGGGTTAGCGGATAGATGCGATTGGTTTAGCGGTTTGGATTTTACAAATTTTGGACATTTTTTTGAATTATAATTCATAACTTTTACAATATCCAATAACTCTAAAGCAAAAAAAATGTATTATTTGTCTATAATGCATGCATATTTTTAAGGTGTTTTTCATTTTCACAAAAATATATATTTTATTATTTCTACTCTATGTTGTTACTTGTCAGTAGTTTTTTCTTTTTTTGAACTTCATCTACGGGTGTATCGGGTTCATGTGGATGCGAGATGGTTGATCTACCATCCGAACCGTATCCGCAAATTTTGAAATATTTCATCCACATCCGTTTGTTGAAAGACACGCACCTGCCCAAAATTAATCGAGTTGGATCGGTTAAGTCGGATTGGACGGATCCATGATCATCCCTACTTGGGCGAGAGTCATTCACCATTGAGTGATTTGGGTGCCAGAGTACTTGCTTGGTGTGGTCAAAATGGGTGATTTGCCATTTGGTGAATACTTATTAGGCTAATTTGTTTGGTACTGATGAGAGTTGTTCAAGGCATGTGGTAGTTATGTTGGAACTTTGAGTGATTGGCAAAACACTTCTTGAGTTGCACACCACACCGTAATATTATGGATCACAGTTCACCAAATCCCAGCAAGGTAAAGAAATTCTGTTCTAGGCTTTTAGCCACTTTTAAAGGAGAAAATAAAATTATTTTGTCCTTAATCTTGTGGACCTCACCAGATAAGATCTCATTCAAAAGGGGTTCAAGTGGTGCAATTATCTTCCCGAGTTGAGTGGTTCGGTGAGATCTATCACTTGTCATTCAATGGACTACATCATCGAACACATGATTGACCAAATTAGATTGGAGTAAGGGAGATGTTTCAAACAAACTCAACCACAACATCGAGGTGATCAAATCAGGCAATCATTCTTTGCTGACAAAAGGAAGAACAAGTTCAAAACGTTTGCAATGATTACAAAAGTAATTGTAAATTGCATTGTCTATAGCATGAGAATCTTCAACAAGTTTGGGTTGAGCACAGAATGAAGTCCCACATTTAAGAATCAGAGATTACGAATCTTGATGCAAGACCCTTCTGCATCGTCTGCCTTTTCCACATTCTATAAACCCCTGGGACTCTTCTTTCCATAGTGATGGACAATTGCTTGGTGGTTTGATCTCAACCATTTATAACATGGCTTAGCCAAACCATGTCATAGATAGTAATATGAATTTGATAACCAGTTTACTTATAAAAATCGCAAAAAAGAAAAAAGGATTTGATAACCAGTTTTTAAAGTGAGTTTTGTTCATAGATGTAAACATAATTTTCCTCTTTTTTGAGAAGTTACTAAATTTAAGTGTATGCTTTTTTTATTCAACTCATGGGATCATCTGCTAGAGGGTGATTAGATTTAAATTTGATTTCTGTATTTAACTACTATCAAATTCATATATTTGATGGAGTAGTTATGTTATTATCCAAAGATAAAGTTTATGGTTTATTACCAGGTTTTACAGTTCCTAGGTTTGGATACTGAGTTGTTTGTCTTGGTTGTTTGCCTTTCTGATGATCATATATACATGGGTTCAGGTTACGTGGATGGTGGGTCGCCCACTTTCGGGTCCAGCAGGTCATGGAAGTCCACGGAAATGGAAATCCAATCCTTGCTGGAGAAGTTACTAGATATAAATGATGCTATGAGTCGATGTGCTGTATCTGCTGCTCCTACTACTTCAGTCACCCAAAAGCTTGCACGGCACAGAGACATATTTCATGAGTTCACCCAGGTTTCTTCTTATTCTACGTAGTAGTAGTATTTTTCGTTTTACTGATGTTTTCTCAGTTTTAAAATTCCTCCCACTGCATTTTCTACTAAGGAATTCTATAAAGCTCTATCTACATGTGGTTCAAGTTGTAAAGTGCCATTTATGCAGTTATTTATTCAACTTCTTATTCAAATTTTCACTAATAGCTACTTATTCTTAATATGAGATTATCTCACAATACAAGTGCAATTTTTGCATCTATTTGTGTTGCTTTGCTGAAGCAATTAGGAGTGCTTAAGTAGTTTACAAACTTTCATTCATTTCTTTGTCTCTGTTATTACGATGACCATCCCTCATGATTTATAGAATTCTTATCTGAACTAATATCTCTGCTAAATTGCTTGGCGTTGGAGATACAGACGTCACAGCCAAATTTCTGAAGAGTTTGATTTCCATGGAACTAAGAAAAAAAATAAAATTAAAGAATCATGATGTGTTGTGTTGTAACCACATTTAATTCCTGAAGAGTTTTTGGATGCAGTTTTTTTTTCTGAATATAGAACACCATAAATGCTAATACTACAATACTACAAACCCTCATATTTAGCGCGCACCCAAAAAAAAAAAAAAAACTGATAATCAAGAAGGAATCATGTTTGTCTCCTGTGGTGCTGGGTTGGTTTGTTGGACTGGAAACTTAAACCTCTAATTAGTTCGGGGTTTATATTAAACAAACCTCAAGGAGAAAGGAAAGAATGTCGAAACTTGTCTGAACTGTATAGACCTTGCCTAAATTGCAGACAAGTTGGTCAAAAAATTTGACCCTTTATCACCCAACTTTTATCACACTAGTCCAAAACCTGTAGCATAGCAGTTGGGCAGTTTTGCTGACCTGCTTTCCGCCATTTACGCTGTGTTTGGTTGGGGGATTTGGGAAAGTATTTGGAAAGGAATGGGAAAATGTATGTGAAATTAGGTGAAATATAAGTATATTTTATTCACATTTCACCTAACTTTTCCCTTTCTCTTTCCTAATTTCTTTCCAAATCCCCCAACCAAACACAGCGTTAGAGTTTGGCTTTAAGTGAGTAATAGTTGGACAGTGTTGCAGTCTTGATGTGTGTTGTAATTATGTTTCAGCAGACATTTTAACATTTTCACATATTTGCATTTGCTTTCCATTTTCTTGCAGGGAAGTCTGGTCTAGAAAGTGTGTAAGTTATCTGTTGATGAATTTTGGTGTCAATATGAGCCATTTTCAATTGGTGTTAGTTGTGTTGCCAGTCAGATGCTTCAAGCAGTAAAGACTTTAAACAGTAGCATCAGTAATACACTTGCATTTCCTGCAATACTCAAAATTGCTATTTTTTGTATTTATTGTTTCACTGAGGAGAACTTATTTGTTTCTTGTTATTTGCTGAACTTGTGCAAGCATGCTGAGCTATAAAAATAATTTTGATCTCACAAGCTAACCTGCTATATTACTTTCTGGATTTGGAGAGCATATATCTCTTGTATTATATCTATAATATGCCAGTGGATCAGATGTGTCTTATCTTCCTCATTGTTTAAATTTAACCTCCTTCAACAACTGGAGAGTACATAAAACATTCAGATTTACACGGGCTAGTATATTGTGTTGAAAGGAGAAATGAATAATCTAAAGTTCATGCTTGACTCTCTGTTAGCATGAACTATGATGTTTAATGGCCTTTACTTTTGCAAGACCAAAATAGGAGGAGACCCTTCATGGTTAAAAAGGCTACTTTTGTATCTGGTTTGATACATTTTAGTATTTCACGTTCATGTTCATAGCCAGCCTACGAGCTTGTATTGCATTTTTAATTTTCGCTATATTAGTATTTTTCAGGGTAAATTACACTTTGCCTCCTTTTTGTTTGATCATTTTTCCACTTTGGCCCTTAAAATTTATTTTTTCCCACTTTAGCCCTTCAATTTTGAAGTTTTTTTTTCAGTATACTCCTAAATTTAATTTCTGTTAAAAATTAAACAGAAAATGACACATTGACAGTCATGTGACATAAAAATATTTTATTACATATAACTTATATCTTTGACATAAACTCATCTCCATATAATAATATATATTTTATGTCATATGATAGTTATTCTGACATTTTTTTTGTCTAATTTTGAACAAAAGTTAGTTTTAGGAGTAAATTGAGAAAAATTTGAAACATGAAGGGCCAAAGTGGGAAAGTAGCCGAACATAAAGGGGGCAAAGTGTAATTTACCCTATTTTTCCAAAGATTATTTAGCATATCATGAAAGATTATATCTGGATGTTTTTAGTGTGTTACCTGGCTAGTTCTATATCATTGCATTTTCTTAAAAGGATTGGTAGTTGTGCTTATTGGGCAACCCTCTTCTACTGGAGAATTGTAGTTGGCTCCTAAAGCACGGTCATGTGGTGCTCCAAGAGCCTCCACAACCAGTCACAAATGCCCACCCCTGTTAGTGAGCAGGGGTGGCCATATTTGATTGGAGGGTGCTCTTGGATCATCATGAGGCCTTGCTCCAAGAGCACCCAATGATTACACGTGCTTCTGGTTTCTTAGATATGACCTTCTATTACTGCTATACTAGGCACTGTATCCTCTTTAAAGAGTTGCTTAAGGCCTTGTGACCATTGACTGAATGTCATGTGCTTCTTTTAGGAATTTAGGCGAATAAAAGGAAACATAAACTCAATGAGAGAACATGCGGAGCTTCTAAGTTCTGTCAGAGATGATATCAGTGAGTACAAGGTGAGAAAGATTGAAGTAATAACTTTCTATTTTAGATTCTTGTCAAAATGAAAATAAAAAATAAAAAATCTATTTTTACTTTTGTTTATTTGTTTCTTAAAGCTAAGATCTATGGTAATGCAGGCCTCTGGAAGTATGTCACCAAGAGTGCAAATACTACGGGAGAGAGCTGCCATACATGGGAGCATATCTCACGTAAGACATCAATGCTTTTTGATAGTACTATCATATGTCACCTATGCTAATTACTATATATTGAGCTAGAGTTAAGTTTGGTCTCCACTTGATTTCTACATTTTTAAGTTTCCCTATTATCCTTCTTTGAAAAAAGAATTCAACAAAAGTTAGTAATGTTTGGGATACTACTTTGGGCTACAATAGCCATATAGGACAAAATTAACTATTTTAGCCAAATAAGACAAAATGTCACATTCACCCCATAATCATTTTATTTTTTCTTTCACAAAAGTGAATAAAAGCCAAAAAGCCTATTCCAAACGAGGCTTTTTAGCCCCAGGCTAAAATAGCCAAAAAGCTAAAATGCCAAACAGCTAACCCACATCCCAAACGAAGGCTTTAGCCTTGAAGGCCAGAATTGCAACTTTACTCCTTCCTATATCTCTCTTCATCACTCTTTGCTACCTCTGTCGTGTTTCTCCCTCTCCACCCCAATGTCCGTGTTTCCTTTTAAAGAAGAATTCAACACAGATTAGTTAAAGGATGTAATTGCACATCACACCTGCAGACCTACTACACTTCAACAAAAAAAGAAAGAAAGAAGGCAAACATATATTCGTTACTATAGGTTCTATCTCAATATACCATTTTAAATAAAGAGTCAATTATGATGTAGTTTTATTACATATTCTGTGCTGGAACCACTGGATCCTTAAACCATTTTTAAATTGTTTATTTATTTATTCTAGTTAGCATATAAATCCAGGCTAGCCAGCCATGTTTGGTTTCAGACAGGGTGCCTAAATCAAATTTGAGTTTAGATTTGTGATGGAACTTTTTGACTAAATTCAAAAACTTGGTTGAACAACAGGAGCGACCAAAATATATTAAGGGCTCATTAATGGCTGGGAAAATGCAAAGATTTGATACATTCAAGTTGCCAAACTTGTCAATTTCAACTAATTTGGATTTGGCTAAACAATAAAACAATACACTCTTTATTCAGGAGATAATAAACATGTTTTGACATTAACAATCATACTCTATACCCACCCTCATGTAATGTGGGTTTTGAAGGTATGATATTTTTCCTTGATGGTAATAAAGGTATTTACACTCTCAGAAACTAAGCAATCTTGGTTAATTTTAGGTATGCATATATAGGCCTATTCGTTTTTAATAGTCCCCCCTATTCATTATTAATAAGTATGATTTGGTTGCATAGCATGTCTGCTTGTTCCTACTGTCATTGAAGCAGTAAATATAAACTGGCATTAAATGTTCTATTATGTAGGCCCCTTCTAAGGATACCTAACGGAACTATCTTATGCAACTAATCTACTTAGATGGAAACTATCTTATTTCTAACTTCTCGACTGTAAGATCTTTTGCTATCTTAGAAGTTTCTTTTGATCTCTATTCCGTGGCATTGTTTGGTTAACGGTTATTGCAGATAGATGATGTTATTAGTCAGGCTCAATCAACAAGGGCAGCTTTAGGATCCCAAAGGGCTTTCTTCGGTGATGTTCAGGGGAAAGTGAAGCTATTGAGTGACAAGTTCCCTATCATTCGTGGCCTACTTGGTATTTTCTTGAACCTATCCGCCCTAATGAGTTTTAGCCGCCTCCGAAATTTCTTTTCACTTATCTTGTTGCTGATCATTGCAGGTTCCATTAGGAGAAAGAAATCGAGAGACACTCTCATCCTCTCTGCTGTTATCGCCGCTTGTACGCTGTTTCTTATTATTTACTGGCTTTCAAAGTAACTAATGATGTGATTTATAGATATAACCAAAAAAAAAAAAAAAAAAAAAAAAAAAAAAAAAAAAAGAAAGAAGAAGAAAGTTCGCGACTCTTCTTTTAAGTGATTTTGCGTGTGTAATTTGTTAGAACAAATCGAAGCTGGCTGTTTTAAAGCTCGTGGCACGTTTTTGTGGTGCCATTATGCAACAATTTTCTCATTCTGCTAAAATGTAGTCTCTCTCTCTCTCTCTCTCTCTCTCTCTCACTTGTTGCAACTATTGGTATTGAAATTAGGGAAAACTACACTCGTAACCACTTTAATTGTGAGCCGTTGTCACTTTACCCACTTCAACAAAAAATTGTTACGTTTTACCCCCTAATCTTCTGATTAGTTTCAATCTCAACTCTCTTCTTTTTTTATTTGGATGACATGTAAGCTACTAGTGCATGCCAATTTTATGACAAAAATGTTTATGTAAGAGTTGGCTTATATACATATATGTAATATATATATATATATATATTCTGATCTGATCATAAAATTGGCAGCATGTGTATGTCTTTTTTCTCACACATTTCTTCATAAGAAAGTGGAACATATATACATATTTCTCACATATATGTAAATAAATAAGCTCTTGAGTGACCAATTTGGCATAGAAATGGTATGAGCAAGCTCATATTGCCATTTTTTCGTCCTCTTTTATAAATAAATAAATAAATATATATATATATTAATAGAAAGTTGAGATTGAAAACCAATCAAACGATTAAGAGGGTAAAATATTGCAAATTTTAGTTGAGAGAGGCAAAGTGTATATGTTTATTTAGTGCCATTATGCTAAATGGTTTCTCTCTGTCTCTCTTTCTCAAACTTGTTTGCAATTGGTATTGAAACTATGGGTGCAATGGTAGTGCATAATTTATCCTGGTGATACATGTGGTTGCTTAATGCTGTGTTTGGTTGGGGGATTTGGAAAGAGAAAGGGAAAAGGTGTGTGAAACTATGTGAAATGTAGATATATTTTTTTCACATTTCACCTACTTTTTCTATTTCCCTTTTTAAATCTCTCTTCAAATCCCGCAACCAAACACAGCATAAGAGTACTGTTTTTCTTTTTGTTGGGATGTCACATGTTAGGCCTCTGGCACTCTCTATTCAATGTCATGTTGGATGTGGTCCATAGAAGCTTTGCTCTGTGAGGTTGGCCAACATTGTTTTCTTGAAGCTTTGGCACAGTCTCTAGTATGTCTTATCTCCATTTCCAGAAACACAATCTTGACGATAGGATCCAAGATTTCGAGTTGGAGGTTTGCTTCTTGTTAACTGTAGGATTTCTAAGGATTAATTTTCGGTTGTTCAGATATGTGGTAACTCAGGTCCAATGGGACTAGGTTGGGCGAGAGATACTTGGGTTATCAAAGACTAATTATTTTATTTTATTTTATTTTGTTTTGTTTTGTTTGGTGTTATTAAGAAAAGGGAGAGGAAGTTATTAAGAAAATAGCACACATTGTTTTGTTAATAAGAAAAAAAAATTGAAACAATTTTCTATCTTTTATCCTTCCTCACATTTGAGAAACAAACAAGCGAGTAAATTCCCTCAATGTGTAGAAGTATCATCAAAAAAAAAGAAAGGAAGAAATAATGAAAAATTAAGCACATTATGATAGTTTAGTTTTTTATTTTATTTTTCAGAATAGTTCGTACAAGAAGTAGGATCAAAGAAAAGAAAACAAGAAGATATTGACCTGCATAACTTATTTGTAGCTTATGTTCTTTAAAATCTAAAATTTTATGCTTAAACATTTATTTTAATTTAATGAAAAGTTAATGGATCAAGGAATGTAGAATGTCACTATCAAAACCGATTGCCAAAGTTTCGGTTCGTATGCTCCAGCCTAACAAGGATGGTTCATACTGGAGTGTAATATCTACTATTAATAATATTAGATATTTTAGTCAAATTTTCTCTTTTCTTAATATAATTAATGTAAACATATTTCATATCTAATGTTATGTTTTCCCTACTAGTTCTCAAAAAAAAAAAAACAAAAAAAGGGGGGGGATAAATTACAAATACAACATTGAGATTTGTTTAAAATTCGAATTATTCTCGATAATTTAGAAACTTACGAGCAACCCATTGTCATAATTTTTTATTTAATAGAATTAACTGAAAAATAAAATTTCCAACTGCTCCGCTATACAATAATAAAATTAATTGAATTTTAAATTGAATTTTTTTTTTGACATTATTAAAAATTTGTTAATTATCTTGATGATTTATTAACAAAAGGGACTATTTATTGTAAAATTAAAAGCTTTAGGGGGGTGAAATGTAATTTTTAAAACTATATAGATTAATTCATATTTTAAATAAATTTCATAAAGTGTATTTATAATTGATCCTTAAACTTAATAGCAACTTATCTCCAGACTGCAGTTCACAACGACGGATCGGAGTGTGCAATTTGAGCCCGTGGCTCATCGTGAGCCTCATTTTAAATTGTTTCATCATATAGATCTATGTGCATGGGTCATGAATTTAAAAAAAAAAAAAAAGAATAATCTAAAAGTTATTTATCACATTTACCTTTAAAAAATAAATGATTTATTGTTTATATTTTAAACTCATATTTGTATATATATATATATATATATATTTGCATACAAATGTGATGAAATAATTGTATTAACAATTATAGAATCAATTTTTTTTTTTAATGTATGATCCATGCATAGAGGCCCTATAAAATGAAATGTTTGAATTATTAAGACCAGGCCAAACTACAGAGTCTAATCCATAAGACATCTTTATTGAAGTAGTCAAATTTTAACTAAAAAGCCATTTTTCTATTTTCACTAATCACTTTTTTTAAATATATCCTCTCACAAACTCTCTACTCTTTTTCTATTTTATTTTATTATTTCATTAATTTATTATTATTATTATTATTATTATTATTTTAAGAATCATATTTTTAAACTAACATTTTCAATAGTTGAACCTTTGATCATATATTTTTAAACCGATACTTTTCTAAAGTGTTTTTTTTTTAAAGGTCACATTTTCTAATATAATAACACTTCATCTCAATTTTTTATTCACTTCAATATAAATTTTTTTGTTCAACTCATTCTTATTTTATTTTTATTTTTTCAATATGACTTACAATCTTGTATGTATTGTTAAAGAGAAACTATTTTGTTCATACATATGACCATTTAAAATATCTCATTAGTTTTAGGTCTCGTTTGGCATGTAACATTTTTAGCTTAAAAGTTAAAAAGTTATTAAAAAAATCAAAAGGCCTATAACCTATATCAAAAAATCAAAGATTCTATTTTCTCTCTATTTTTTGCACATCTTTTTGAAGAAAATTTAAAAGTAATTCCAAATATACTAATTTTTTTACCTCATATTTTAGTCAAAAAGTTACTAAAATAGTCTGTTCTAAAACGAGGCTAGGTAATAAAAAAGTTTTTTAGTTTATACACTTATCAAATATGTGAACAAAATTAAATCTCAAAAAAACAGTTGTGTAATGCTTGTCTAATAATTTATTGTTTAAATATATTTGTGAAGGCCTTGTTAGCTAACTAGCTACTTATGGCGAGGATTTGAGGCTCGTATAGATTTGACAACTGAAAAGGCTAGTTTGATAGAGTTGTTATTTTTTTGGTAGAATAATTAAGAGGAGGATTTGATGTGTTTGATATTAGAGGTAAGTTGCTCTTTTTAAAACTTTTAGCTTATTGACTTATTGAGCTCAAAACAAATTTAAAATAAATTCAAAAAGTTAACCTTTTAAAAAATGAATTAGAGGATTTTTGTTTTTTTAAATTGCAAATATAGTGTTGCATAAAAAAGGAAACAAAATAATTTAGAGAAACCACAAAAGGCATAGATAGAGGAACAGTTAAGGGCAATCCAAAAAAAAAGAAAAGAACAGCTCCAAAACAAGGTTAATAGGGTAGAGCTAGGTTTTATGTTCACAAGTCCTATATTTGAATTGGTTGGACCATGGTTCGGTGTGGTCCACTCAGACAATGAACCTATCTCTTAGGGGCCCCATTTGCTGACCCTGGTTTGATTAAAAAAAGTTGGGTATGAGAGTCTCGATCCCTTATAGTTATTTTTTTAATAAATTATAAATATACTTTTTGAAATTTGATAAAAATATAAATTATTTAAAAATTATGTTTCGCCTGTTCAAATTTATAATTGCATAACAATTGATTTATTTTATTAATAAATTATCAAATAATTAATAGTTTTTAAAGATGTTAAAAATATATTTCAATTAATAATTTATGTAATTTTATTTTTGTATAGTTAAGAATTTTATTATTTCTGTTAATTTTATTAAATAAAAAATTCTTATAAGAAAATATTTATAATTTTCAGAATTACAAAGTAATCCATATTTTGAATAAACTTCGAGGGGTATAATTTACCCTAACTTTTTTAAGGTGATATTTTTGTATGAAATTTTTTATTTACACATCACTTATTTAGTACACATTGCACACAATTTCCCCTTTTTTTTTTTTTTCTCTCAATTTACATAATATTTTTTTTTTGAATAATACAAAAATGTCACTCTATCTTCTCCAAACTCAAACACTAACCCTAATTATATCGCCCACTGTTGTTGCCATCAACGATCACCCTTTTCTAGTCCCTTTGCTGCCAGCCACCCCTCTTCTGTCACCTCCACTCTTCGTCGCAATCCCTCTCCATCCCCATCCCTTTCAAAATATAATTTGGCATAATATAATATCAAATAATAATATTAAATTTTGATAATATTGTTCATTGATGCAAATGTTATTATGGTACATTCATGTCATTGCTTGACTTTATGAATAATTCTACACATATTAACAATCTTATTAAAAATACAAGAAGCCAAAAATAATGATATTTAAATATTCAATAATATTTAAACATGCATGTTTTTAATAATATTGTTAGTAAATTTTTAAATAGATGTAATATTGCTCTATTTCTAATCATTGGATGTCTTACATCCTCATTTTCCATTTATCTAATATTTTTTCCAAATTTTTTAACGCTGTGTTTGGTTGGGGGATTTGAGGAGGAATTTGAAAAGGAAAAAAGAAAAATTAGGTGAAATGTGAATAAAATATACTTACATTTCACCTAGTTTCACACACCTTTTCCCTTTTCCTTTCCCAATCCCTCCCCAAATCCCCTAACC